AGGTAAAAACAACAGATGAATTCAAAATGATGTCAGCCTTGTTTATTCTATTTTTATCGACTCTGGATCAACGCCAACATTTCTCGACCATGTTGGCAAATTATCACCATTGCCTTTGACCTCAAGATCGCAAAAAAAAAAAACCCGTTATAAATTCTGTAAATCTTCAGCAGTCCTCACCTCCATGTCCAAAATCAATTCCTTTCCTTCTTTAATTCCCAGTCCATGTCTCTTGTTCATGAAATTAAAATTAATACAATAATCTTTTGCATCAGAATGTGTTTTTGGCCAAATGTTTCGATCCAGAGCCATGCCTTTACAAACCACCCCGGGCAACGCTCGATAAAGATAGAATAAAATTGGCAACCAGTCAGCAAGGTCTTAATTTTATCTCCTCTTGCTCCGAGGTGGTGAATACATGTATGTGTTTGGAGCTGTTATGAAAAATCTTTGTTTAAATGTTTTCTGTTTTTGTTTTTTTCCCATGTATCTGAGCTTTTTTTCTTGTCCCAGTACAGATATTACAGGTCAAAATATGTCCACTGTGTCCTGTCTGTATCTACGTATAATCAGGAAGTGCACATTAGCATGCTAGTTGTTGTCAGCTTTACTGTGACAGGTCTCCGCTCTGGTCTCTGAAACGTGTGAGTATTTAGAATGCATCAGAATGAGTGCAAAAGGTAAGTGAGGAATAAATCTGGACCACTGCAAACCATGTATTTGTTCATTTGTTTTTCAAAATAAAACCAAAAATAAAAAAGCATTACAAAATAAGTGTTGGAAAATGAAAAAAATAAAAAAAAATTCTTCATCATTTGTATCCAAAACCAAAATGAAAAATATTTTGCGTTAAAATTAATAATGGAAAAAACGGATAATGACAGTTTCCCATTTCAGCAACTTAAATGCCAGACTTTTGCGCCAGGACCAGACCAGGACTGGGACCGGGACCGGGACCAGGACCAGGACCAGTACTGAGACCAGGACTGAGACCAGGAGAGACTGGGACTAAGACCAGGACCAGACCAGAACTGAAACCAGGACTGAAACCGGGAACAGTCCGAGATTGAGACTAGGACCAGACCGGGACTGAGATCAGAACTGAGACCAGACCGGGACCACACCAGGACTGAGACTGTGACTGAGACAAGAGACAAGGACCAGACCAGAACTGAGACCAGGACCAGACCGGGACTGAGACCAGGACCAGACCAGGACTGAGGACAGGACTGAGACTGGGACCAGACCGGGACCAAACCGGGACTCAGACCAGGACTGAGACCGGGACCAAACCAGGACCAGACCAGGACTGAGACCAGTTTATTGCTGTTTTAGTCCTGGTTCAGTCCGTATGCGGCGCAAAAGTCCGGCATCACAGTTTAAGTCACGGAAACGGGAAAAGGACATTATCCGTTTTTTCCATTATTCATTTAAACACAAGACCAAAAACTGAAAAAAAACTAATCGTTATCTGTTTTTTCATTTTGGTTTTAGAGCCAAATAATGAAGAAAATAGTTCTTCATTTAGTTTTCTTATTTTTGGTTTTATTTTGAAAAATGATAGAACGAATGATACATTAATTCACTGCAAACCGTTTAAAATGAAGTAGTTCTGTTTTTCCACTTTTTTTTAAGACAGTAAAAATCAGGACAGCGCCTTTAAGCCTCCTTCTTAAAGAGTTCTCCACACAGCGAGAACAGAGCGGACGACTTCCACTCCAGAGAGATTACAGGAAGACAGACAAACAAGACCTGGGTCAGGACGCTGTGATGCTGGATGATATGGGGGTTTAGTATCGAAGAAGTGAAGACAAAATAAAATGTGAAATGATAAACTCAAGTTGAAAGCTCAGCGGGCCTAGTCTAAGTATTTGATGGGAGATCACTGGTAATACCAAGTGCTGAAATCGAGCAGAATTTAGTGCATATGGTTGCAGCATCTATGGGCCAGACTAAGGGTGGAAAGTAACAAATTCCATTTACTCACGTTACTGTAACTGAGTAGTTTTTATGACTAATTTGTCATTTTTTAAGTAGTTTTTGAGGTAATTTACACTTCACTGGAGTACATTTTGACCCAAGTATTTAACTTCATTACATTGGAATCGACTCTCGTTACTGAGTAAAATCAGATTAATAGAAAAAAAAATTAATTAAATAAGAAAAAAACAAAACAAAACAAAAACCATGCCGTAAATGAAAGATTTGCACACGAGGCATTTTCACTATAGAATGTTCAGTCATTTTACAGAACCGTCACTTTATCTTGATCAACTTGAATGATGCTGGTGCTGGGCCACAGATCGAGGACGTCATGGACGATATTCAAGGAGAAAGTGCACTGAATAATCCTCGAGATGAAAGAGAAGGAAACCCTTGACCAAACCTTGGACAGCAATTTGTGTTCAAACGCAAAATAGGGAATAACATAATAATGCAAGTGTTAAAATTATTATGTTTATTTATTTCGGACAGTAATACATAGAACATAAATTAAAAAACAAAAAACTAAATAATAAAAAAAGACAAAAATGTAAATACATAGATATTACACAAAAAGTAACTATTTCTATTCTATAATAACAGGCAAAATAAATGTTACGCAGAATTTTCCTTGTGTCCGAAAAAGGAGTGGGAGGAAGTAAATACTTATTTAACCCCACCCCTTTTTTCTACCGTCCCAAATTAACGAAGAACAAATACAGACTTCTCATTTCCTGTACGTTATAAGCAATAATTGCACAGTACCTCCATTGCATTACAATCTAACAGACAACAACAAATATATGTATATTATGTACACAGATATAGTACACATCATATACACAGATATAATATATACATACCTACATACACATCACATACCCATGCATACCTATATATATATACATATATACACCCATACACATACATATACATGCACACATATATCCTAAGCACTCATTTCTTCCGCACAGTATTTTGAAATAATTAATTTTTTAATTGCCCTTTTGAATACATGTATATTCGAACAAAGTTTTAATTCTATTTTCAAGTTGTTCCATAATTTCACACCACAAACAGAGACACAAAAACTTTTTCTTGTCGTTCGAGCACGAGGCAATTTAAAATTCAAAAAGCCTCTTAAGTTATAGTTTGCTTCCCTTTCACAAAAATAGTTAAGTGTTTGTGAGCTCAGTTGTCTTTAAAATTTACAAAGTTTGTCTGTATCACCTAAAAGTCAATTAAAACAACTTCTGCTGGATTAGATTTATGACTCATCCCTTCTTACATCAAATAATTGAAAGTAACTAAGTCACTTTTACTCAAATTACAATTTAAATGAAGTATTTTTTTCATTTTTCTCAAGTAGATTTTTAGATGGTTACTTTTACTTTTACTTGAGTAGGAAAAATAAAGATACTTTTATTTAATTACATTTGTTCTGTACTTTTTCACCTCTGGGCAGGACACAACTCTCTTGCCTCCATTGTCCGTGTACACTGGTGATTTAACGAGCGCATGTTTATTAGAATGAATGCAGTACAGTGGATGGGAATTCGCCCGGGGCTACAGTCCAGCATGTACCATTTATGTTCATTAGCGAGGGGGTATTTCTGCTCTATGGGGTATTAAACATGAACACATACATTATTTACATGACCGTGGTATGTTATGATTATTAGTATAAAATTATTACTGGCATAAAATGGTGAAATTTGTATAAAAAAGTAAAATATTTATTCAGTTTCTGATTCGTTTTGATGATCTGAGTCCCCTCAACCTTTAGTTCTCTGCATCACTCCCCAAAATCCAGTGTGCATTTCACTAATTAAACTACTACACATCACTTTAATTTTGTGAGTGTATTGTTTTATATTGTGCTCTTACAAGTATACAAGAGCAGTGCTTCCGGGTTACGTTGGCGTGTGAGCTGTGCCATGCGAGAAAACATGATGGCGTCACGTCCGGGGCGAAAGCAAAAAGGCAAAAAGAGTCCGTATCAACAAGCCAACATCAACACCATCAACATTTATCAGCAGACAACATCAACAATCGTCATTACAACAGTACAGCATCAGCAGTTATCAGCGAGTTTTAACTCATGTCAAAACAATTAAATGCAAAATATGCAAATTTCAAAATAAGATGAATTTATCTCATGACAGACATACACAACGCAACTGTCAGCATAAAAGAGCAGCCCCACTGACTTTTTGCTGACCAGCCACTGCGCACGTGCGGAAAAGCCAGATGTAAACAAAAACAGCGTTTTCTCGTATGGGTTTGTACTACTAACCATAAGGAGGGATTGAATAGTTCCAAGGAGAGATCACTAAATTACTCAAACACAAAAGCTCAATTAATGCCCTTCTTTAATATGTGGCAGATTCATTCATTCGTTCAGAAAACTTTATTGATCCCATAAGGCAATTCATTATATCATAATTCTTTGATTCTACTAAACTGTTTGACAATGAGGAGAGGACATGTAGTCAGTCAACAGTTTAATTATTTGGGTAAAGCACAAAGTTAAAATGCCAATAAAAAAAAGTGTATAAAGGAATCCTAAAAAATATAGTAAAAGTAATATTAAAATATCCAATTTGGCAAAAATTCTGAATTAAGACAAGTGGGTGCTGCTGTCACTGCCAGGTAAAGGTCAATGCGGATCCGGAGCGATTAGTCCCTCCAATCAAGCCACTGCCACGCTATGTAGTTGGCTGTAAAACAAGAACAAAGAGGTGTCTTACACAATTTCAGCCAGGCCCTTCTTTGGCTACCCACACGCACATCAGGGTCGACTGTGTAACGTCCCTTCACTTAGCTCTTTCAGGCGTTTGGTCAGAGCCACCACATCCCCCTGCCTTCGGGCCTACGTGTCCGCTCCTGCTACGGGTCCTCTGGCTCACAAAAGGCTAGGGAATGGCAAGTCGCACCTTTAATTTCCTCGCCGGGCCACAGGTTACCTCATACACCCACACAGATTAGTCGTGGAAACGTTCCTTTACCGAGCTCTGTCAGGCGTTGCGTCTGCGCCGTTGCGTCTGCGCCGTTGCGTCTGCGCCGTTGCGTCTGCGCCGTTGCGCGCTTGCGCCTGCGCGCTTGCGCCTGCGCGCTCGCGCTTGCGCCCCTGTGGACTCCGTCGGCGTGTCGAGATCTGGCAGAAGCAAAACAGAGACTACCCCGTAACTCTTTTCCGCAATCAGACCTCGCACAAGTTTCTCCAGATACGTCGCGCTACTTAGCTCTATTAAGGCGATGTATCTGTCCTTGCTGGCGCTACCCTCTGCCCATTCCCGCTCCTTGACCTGTCCACGTTCCTGCTCGTCGACCTGTCCACCTTCCCGCTCGTCAACCTGTCCCCACTTCCCGCTCGTCGACCTGTCCACGTTCCCGCACCTCCACCTGTCCACGTTCCCCCTCCTTGACCTGTCCACGTTCCCGCACCTCCACCTGTCCACGTTCCCGCTCCTCGACCTGTCCACGTTCCCGCTCCTCGACCTGTCCACGTTCCCACACCTCCACCTGTCCACGTTCCCGCTCCTCGACCTGTCCACGTTCCCGCTCCTCGACCTGTCCACGTTCCCGCTTCTTCACCTGTGTTCTGTTTTCCATCTCTTCCGTTTCCGGTGTCGCAACCTCACGTCCAAGGTCTTCCTCCCCACTCATGCCCTCTGTCTGTCTTTTAAAGTAAAAATACTGTTCCGACCACAGTCCTTCACTCCAATATAAAACACATCAAAAATAAAATCACCCAGAGTAAACAAGGACTTATCTTCTCTCATTTGACACCTGCACGGTCTCAACCAAATAAATAACAATAATAAGACTGTGCTGGGACTGTATCCTGTGTAAAGCAGCTATAGCAACAACAACCAAAACAGAATGAATCAAAAGCGAGAGAAAGAAAGAACATTGCACAGGAGACGATGTAAACTGAGTTAAACATAACACAGCGAATGTAAAATTTGATGTGAACATATTTTGTAAGGGTGGAGGCTCAATGAACTCAATGTGCGTCACTTTAACTTGTTCTTTTCCTTAAAAAAAAAAAAACTACCTCAATACATCCATCACCAGAAAACTCTTTTAATCCCCTGTATTACTCATCATAGGTACTTTTAAATATAGCTCGCTCAAATATGCAGCCATAGAATCCGAAGATAAACCAAGACATGTGAGTTACGACAAGCACCTTGAATTAAAACGCGCTCATAAAACTGCCTCTCCGCCGCGGTACAGAGGAATGGGCTACGCTGGTGGGAGGCCGTGGGAGGAGCGGTGATCTATCGCGGGGGCCGGATAGCTGGACCGCGATTGGACGCGTCGTGTGAATTATAAGGAAGGCAGGTTCATGGTGAAGTCAGCGCCGTGCAATCTTTCTAATGCTCGCAACGTGCCAAAGCAAAGATGTGTAGGAGCATTAGCGTGCAATAATGTGTAAATGAATGGAGTTTCCTATGGTCTCACAAGGATCCCTGCTCTGGTTTGATGGATAGTTATGAAACCACGCAGACCTCAAGCCGCGTTAGAAGTCCGCGTGAAGGCGTTGGATGCACATTAATAAGATTTGAATTATCGCGAGGATGTCACGTAGTTCAGCGCAGCCTCCTAGCTCAAGATCTGGAGATGAGGCAGGCTGCAGATTGTTTATGTTGTTTGGTAAGTTAAAAGTGCTGCACATGATTTTTACTCTGCTAAAAATTGAACAGAATTTGTTTATTTCAAGCGGCTTGCAATGGTCTGTTTTTCTCTGTTTACCTTTTGAACTAGAGATGGCATTTGATTAAATTTTCTTAATCAATCATTGGGAGAATTAACAATTGATTTTTATATTAAAATAGTCATTATTATTACTGTTATTAATCTACATAATTAAACTAAACTTTTCAACATATAAACCATATCCACTATAGAGCCACATTAGCCCGTCTGAGATTATAATGTGTTTAATGCAGCTTTGACACATTTGTTTACGTTTTACAGAAACAAATTTTCATTAATCATTGCATTATAAGCAGCTCTTTCCTTGTGTGCTGATGCGGTCAGCTCCTGTCACACGAAAGGGCACAACTCAGTGGAATATACAGACATGGACAAAATTGTTGGTGCCCAACTGGCAATGAAAGAAAAATCAGCAATCATTGCTAAAAAAAACTTGAAACTGATAAAAGCAATAATAAATTATATATATATATATATATTTGCCCCAGGGCAGCTGTGGCTACAATAGTAGCTTACCATCACCGGGTGTGGAGAAAAAGAATAATGAATCTATAAATGCTCTGTAAAGCGTCTTTGTGATATATGTCTGTGAAAAGAGCTATATAAAGCACTACATGAATTACTTACTTACTTACTTACTTAAATAAATAAAAAAATACTGAAAATTATTCTATAAATATAAAAATAAAACATTGCTTTTCACCTTTGGTTCAACAGAATCATTTGAAAAAACAAAATCATGACACTGGCCTGGACAAAAATGATAGTACCCTTAACTTAATATTTTGCTACACAACCTTTTGAGATTATCTCTGCAAACAAACAAATTCTGTAAGTGTCAGTGAGACGTTTGCACTGGTCAACTGGTATTTTGACCCACTTCTTGAGAGCAAACTGTTCTAATTGTCTCAGGTTTGAAGGATGCCTTCTCCAAACAGCCTGTTTCAGCTCGTTTCACAGATGTTCAGTAGGATTGAGATCTGGGCTCACAGATGACCACTTCAGAACAGTCCAATGTTCTCTTCTTCGCTTTCTCTGGTCCATGTTCAGTGTTGTGTCCATCATGTCTCCAAACGGCATAGTGACACATGTCGCCCTTTAAACAGGCAAACTGACTGAGGACAAGTTTGAGGACACACCTAAGTTTAACATGTCCCTGTTGTTCAATTACTTCATTACCATCATTTTTGTCTAGGCCAGTTTCTTTAGTTTTTTAGTTTTGTTTGTTTGTTTGTTTTTTTTAATTATTCTGTTGAAAAATAATTCAAAAACAGTGTCTGATTTTCACTGGTTATTTTTCTGTAAATTTTTATTTATTATTGCTTTTTTCAGTTTCAAGTTATTTCAGTGACTATTGTTGATTTACCAACAGTTTTGTCCACATCTGTATGAATGTTCTTTCTGTGACAGAGGATGTGCTCCTGATGGTGAGTCTGTTCTGTGTGTATATCACGTTGGAGATGGTTCACGTTTTCAGAGATCATACATGTGCAGGTTTAGTGCAGCTCTTTATCTAACAGTTATTTCACTCACTTTATTTTATGTTGGTCACTCTATTTATTTTGGCTACTGTTGTGATGAAAAGACTGAACATTTTTTGTCTTTACAATTGCCCAAAAATTCTACTCAGTAACAGGATTTGTAATTAGTTCCTTTTTTTGGTATTAGAAACCTTACAAACATCATGCTGACTGACTGTTTTTAAGTCCCTCCTAAACACTCACTTTTTTTTTGTTCGAGGGTTGACTTTTTACCTGTATTTGTATTATATTTTACCTGTACCCGTCACTGTATTTGTCACAGTTTGGTATCTGTTTGTGTACAGCACTTGGGTCGACTGTTATTTTTAAAATGCTTTAGAAATAAAGTTGAGTAGAGTTGAGATGAATAGAAACCAAAGCCAAATCAGCCCACACAGTCAGAACAAATATCATCCTAAAGTCATTCAGGAAAGGTTCATTTCTGTCCTGTGAATGTGACTTTTTTAGTTTCGATACTTGTCCAAATGAGCATGCAGTTTTGATAATAGTTTTAGTATCTTTTAACAATCTTACCTGTGATACGTGTGCACCAAAATGCAACTTCTGTTTCTCTCCCCGCTCCTTTCACGGCGTCTATAGTCGTATAATTTGTATATTTTAAAACAGAGATATGACCCGTCCATTCGTTTGCCCGCGTGTTTATTTTCGTGACTCGAGTTTCTGCGTTGAGCTTATCCAGAGCGTACAGTAAAGCAAAGTAACGGGAAACCTTCCAATCAAATCTTTAACCGACCATATAACCTCTGCTTGGCTTTGTTTCAACAGGAGTTAATAAGTCACAGGTACAAGTTGCTTCATTTAAACAAACAAAAAAAACAAAAACCATGAGGGTGAATGCTCGTTGAACCGAGTCTGTTAACTTGAGTTCATAGGGGTTTGAGTCATGCTTATGTTCTGTTTTTCTTTTGAATAGTTTCATTTTATAGTAGAGATAAGTTAATTCCTGTTTGATGTGCCAGTAAGCATGCTGACTAAAACTATTTCAACACCGTGCGATAAGGATCTGGTTACTGTGGGAAAAGGTTATGGTTTCAGTCCAATGAGATTCATTCATCTTCCAATATTCTATGTTATTAGGTTCTTTTTTTCAGACCTAGAGTGTTATTTCATACCTGACAGTTTCGACTGCTCACTAGCGTCTTCCTCAGAGTGGTCATGTGATGTTGCTGTGACGTGTCTGGTCAGCTGATTTAAACAGGTTTTGGCGCTGTCCTGAGGAAGTCGGACTGCAGATGGCGCTGTCGTCCTGCCTCCACCGGTAGGAAGACAGCGCCATATAATATATCTATATCCATCTATCTATCTATCTATCTATATATATATATATATATATATTTATTTATTTATTTTATTTTTTATTTTTTTTAGGAGAAACATCAAGTCTTCTCAAGTCACGGGCCTAAAGTCCAAGTCAAGTCCCAAGTTACTGATCTTCAAGTCCAAGTTGAGTCCCAAGTCTTGGTCCATTTTATCAAGTCAAGTCTCAAGTCCTAAAGATAGTGACTCAAGTCTGACTCGAGTCCAAGTCCCCACCTCTGCAAAGCACCCATTCATAATTAGACTGACCGCTTGTTGTATTCTCACATATCACCACTAGAGGCTGTCTATGGCTACGTTCAGACTGCAGGCCTTAAAGCTCAATTCTGATTTTTTTTGTGAAATCTGATTTTTGCGAGGTCGTTCACATTTCCAATTAAATGTGACTTGTATGTGATCTCCAGTGTGAACATTAAACGGCCCAAAAGTGTCCCGCATGTGCACTGGAGACACGACGACGTCAACCGCAGCGAGCGTGCTCTGTGTTTACGGAAGTTGTCCAAACATGGACATTGAGCACCTGGAGATTTTAAAGTTCCTCTCGTACCGGAGCCAGAACATGAACAACTTACTTGTTTTAAGGAGGAGGTTGAGAAGGATGAGGTTTTTGGTTGTGGCGTTTTGTGGGACAGCGGCAGCGACGTCCGTTGAAAGGAACGTGTGGATGTGGAGACGGAGCCAAGAGCGGTGAGTGGTGATGTGCTTCACTTCAGTGACACGGAGTTCATTAACAATTTTTGCCTACTTCAGTGCAGAATAGTGACGTTTGTGGCTTGTTGATAACGTGTAGGTGGGATGAATGCGCTTTGGCCGTTCAGACTGAAGTCGGATGTCAAAAGATCAGATATGTATCGGCTTCAGGACCACATATCCAAGTGTCCTGCGTCGCATTTGAAAAAATCGGATCTGTGTCGTTCAGACACATATACAGAGGCCAAAAAAATCGGATTTGGGTCACTTCAGGCTGCAGTCTGAACGTAGCCTATGTTACTTCAGTCTGACAGAGTCTGAAAAAAGTCCAGGTGAGGGGCGGGGGAACAGGTTCCACATCTGCCTTCGACTGGTGGAAAAAGACAAAGTAACGCG